TGATACTGACTCCAAGGGATTCTGCTGAAAGCAGGAGCCCAAATCCACCAGCTCAACCTGAGTGCAGGGGTGGGGCACAGATTTATGACCTGGGGAGGGGGCTGCACTTCTCCGTGGTTGCTATGCCTTTTTCCTTAACGTCAACCAGGCGGGCTTTCCACAGAGGGGGGGCTGAGGCCTCCTACACCAGCAGGGCCTCCACCCCCACCTGTTGATCAAACCTGGGCTTCTCCTCCACTCCTGGGGTTGACGGCACCACTACATCCTTCACTGGCCCACAGCACCTCATAGCCTGCATTCAGGCTGCTGCTTCTCGGGCTGTCGTGACATCCTTTACCATTCCCACAGCACCTCGCAGTGACACCGTTTCAGTCATCAACAAATTTTTTATCTCCTCTACAGCACCTCGCAGCTCACATTCTCATGCTGCCCCTTCTCGTGCTTCTAGCAAGAGGGCGTCTTTCTCCCTACCGCTTTTAACACTGCTGAGAAAAGGCCAGCCCATGGTCCCCACTGCCTCGCAGGCACCCTGCTCTGTAAAGAACTCCCTACTTTGCGGAGGACCAACTTCATTGCCTCAGACATCACCTCCACCCCCTCCCAGTCATGCGGGGGGAGGGACAGCCCTCTAGGAGGCAAGCCACCTCTGACCACATGTCCGCTGGTAGACACTCGAATGTCTCCCCATCCATGGGGCAGCCGCTGAAGCACCCGTCATGAGGCTGGCCTGTTCTGTTCCTTGGTCTACATCCTGCCAATGTCACCAATTGTCTTGCCAGTGGGTTTCATCCACAGGCAAGTTCACTTTCAATTCAGTGAGACCGAAAAATAACAATGGAATGTTCTTAGGGTGAAAGGGTTTGTACCCAACTTTACTCCCACGGTGGCAGGTCAAGCGCTATAATCCTGTCTGCCTCAGAGCGAGTCTGCGTGCAGCAAGCCGGTCTCTGACCCTGGGCCTCTGCGGCCCCGCGGCCGTCCCAGTCTCTGCCCTTGCTTCCGCTCTCCTGCAGGCTTGCAGCCGTGCAGCCCAGAGCACTGGGCGGAGCTCTTTATATAGAGTCAGTAATAATGCATTGCCCACACGTGTGCCGTGAGCAAGCCGACCAGGGTCAGGTGAGAATCCTGGCCACGGGAACCTTCACTTTCTCTACAGGGCCCCTGCAGCCAGCCTCCCCAGCCTCAGTCCCCCAGAGCCCAGCCTTGCCACCCTGGCTGCTGAGAAACAAGCTCAGGAGAGGTTAGAGGAGACAGGGACTAGCGGTGACAGACCTTCACCACCTTCACATGCACCTGACAGTCATCTGTAAAAAGACGGCTGGAAACACAGGGACAGCTGGGCCCCTGGACAGAGCGCCAGGCAGCGCAGGGCTGTGCTCACCCGGCCCCGGCACCTCTCTACGGGGCAGTTACAACCCAGTGCGACACAGGCAGCCCCGCTGACAGTCAGCCTCTGGGCACACGTGTGTCACATGTGGGAGGAAGCCTGTGTCACGTGAGGGGCCCACGTGTGTTATATGACATGAACGAACGTATCACATGGGAGGAAGATGCACGTCACGTGTGAGAGGATATACACCTAGCGCATGTGAGGAAACACGGTGTCGTGTGTGGGAGGGAGCACACGTGTTGCAGTGGGGAGGCCCTGTCACGTGTGAGGGAACATGTGCGTGGAGTGTGAGGGCTGGTGGGCTCTTTCCAGCAGCACATGTGTGCAGAGTGCGCATATCCGGCCCTCCTTCCCAGGGCCCCTGCCCAGAGATGAGCCAAAGCACTATGAAAACTCAGGACCTGGGCCAGTGACAACATACGGCAGCCAGGAGGCCTGAGCGCACGGGCAGCCCCCTCTGGGATGCCACCAGAAGGGCGAGTGCCCCTTCTCCCACCGCCACGCCCTGTGCATGCCCCTCACAACTATTACTGCACCATCCACACACCTATGCTGCCCTCTCCTGGGAGGCTCACCTCGGAGCACAAGCCTTCGTCCAGTTTGTCTATCTAGCAAATGACACAGAGAGGCCACAGAGGCCCAGAACTCGGCATCCACTGAACAAACGAATGCACGCTCCCGGGTCATCCCCATCCCAGAATCAGCACGGGAAGCACCAGCACGTTGGATGAGCGCCTCCACACCTACTACTGGATTCTCTGCAGATAAAGTGTGGAAATGGGAATTACAAGACTCGCCCTTCAGACCAGCGCTCACCAAAGGAGAGGGTGGGGGAGGGAACTGAGGGGCATCATGATCAGTGCACATGCTGTGGCGGGGGCACAGGGAAGACAGTGCAGCACGGAGAAGACAAGTAGGGACTTTGTGGTGTCCTACTACATGGATGGACAGTGACTGCAGTGCATGGGGGGACTCGATAACATGAGTGAGTGTACTAACCACAGTGTTTTTCACGTGAAACCTTCAGAAGAGTGCATATCAGTGATACCTTAATAAAAATTAATAAATAAAAAAGACTCACTCTTCATCCTTCAATTCAACCAAGGCCAGGAAATAGAACAGAGGCCAGAGCCACAAGCTTTAAAGAGCAGTTTGCTGGGAAGTCTGAACGGAGCCAGACAACAGAGGAACACACAACTCTCTAGTAGCCACGGAATGAGGACAGAGAAGGTTTCCACGTGGCTATACACTTGTTAACCACAAACTTAAGTAAGCGTCCAATTTCTGCACCCTGCCGTGGGGAGGACTGATTACTAACACTCACTTGATGAACATGCTCCTTCCTCTAGGCCCAAGGAGTGACGAGCTGTACTCTAGAAACAGGCCTGTGCATCAGGAAGCTACATTTGCTAAAACTGAGCACACAGAGCTGTGAGCCACGTTCACCACAGGCGCCGACTTCTCCCAGCCACCTGGACGGCAGCTCAGCGCGACCGAGCCCCCCGCGGTCCCAGGATCCTGTTAGCAGCGCACATGCTGGGACCCGACCCCACCGCCATCATGCTCCCAAAAGGATCTATGGAAGGCTAAGCCTGTGTCACTTGGGGCTGATCCCTGCTTAGCGTCATAACCAAACAACTTTGGCTGATAAAACCAGATACAGTGTAACTTATTCATGTAACTTAATGCCTTACATTGCCTTATTTTGTTTTTAATTCACGGGTTTGTTAGCTTTCAATAGAAAAATTTTATAAGCATACCTAATTAAATAATAATTTCTTCCTTGTCTTCAAAGTTTAAAAACCGATGCTTTACCAGAAAGGTCAATGGGACAGCCTCAGAATTGGGTGAAATTAAAAAGCAAGTAGATGAGAAGAAGGCACTTAGGTGCCTGAGGGACAAGGCCAGGAGAACACCTGCCCCTGACAAGCTCTGCCCAGCTGCCCCCCAGACGGAAGCCTCACGCCTGACCCCCGACTCCTGCCCACTGGGTGTGGCAGCTCCTCCAGATGCAGGAGCTGTGAACTGCAGGGCCCAGGGCAGGGGAGGGGGGCGAGGGGGCAGGGGACAGGGTAAGGGGCAGGGGGCAGGGGGCAGGCCTCAGCCCAAGGGCAGCTAGGCCTCTTTCCCCACCTCTGTGCTGTTACCTGGCTGGTTCCCTCCCTCTGCCCTTCAGGCAGCATCCCCCAGACTGCAGGGCATCATGGCTGGGATTCCTCTTTCCCTGTTACACTGGCCATTGGCGACCATTTTTATGAATAAGTCATTCCCATCGGACATTTTCCAGGAAAAAGTAACACATACACAAACCTGAAAATCAGAAAACAATTCACATCACAAACATTTCCGTCACCTCGGGAACCATGGCTAGGATTCTGGGGCACATCAGTTTCAGTTACACAATGTAGTGATCCAACATTTGTATATGTTGCAAAACGATCCACTTTTTTTACACAATAGTTATCACATAGTATTTACAATTCTAATATTTCACTGAATCTCTCAACCGTTCTTAAGGTGTAATGCTTACAAGTAGTTTATAACTAACAGGTGTAGTGAGTGAACACTAGTCCATGGAGAGTAACCAGGTTCAATCACATGATTCCACCATCACACCAGCCAATTCCATGTTACCCAATCTAATATTTGCACATTTTAATTGGCTCTAATTTTTCACAATTATATGTACTGTTACAACAGTATCCCTTATATATAAAGCTCTTCTGTCTTGGATATAGGAATTATAGGTTAAATAATATGGACATTATTTTTAAGTCTCTAGCTATATGTCACCCAATTAGTTGCCAAAATGACTGAAAACTTAAAGTCCCTCATCAGCATATGAGAGGAACAATGTCACTATAGCCTATTCAGCAGCAAATATTCTTTGGCAGCTACTTTAATGCCATGTCCCCCGTGGGACAGTGAGGAGGACCCTGCCCACCAACACGGCCTCATGTGCACTTCCCCAGGATCAAAGGCAGAGCACGCCTTCCCAGCACCCCAGTGCCTGCGATGCACAGAAAGTAGACAGAGTCACCTCTGTTTGAGCCATGAGGAAAACAAAGTCCAGCAAGATTATCCCATTCACTCAAGGTCACTTGTTTGTGTCAAGCCATCGGCTGAACACTGAGCTCATGTGTACCCAATATTCTTTCTACCGCAGTGGCCAGAACAGCAAATGGTTCACATCCTATGACCGACCTAGATGGACTGGCAGAGATGGCCTGGAGCTCTGTTCAAAGGGGGTGGCCTCATCCAGGCTCAGGTACAGAGAGTGCTGTGGGCAATTAAAGGGGTCACCCTCTGGCCCAGGAAGAAGGGATGATGCTGGCCAGGCCCCCAGGCTGTTTCTCAGTCATTTGAGTGGTAAATTCCATATGACCACAAACCCAAAACATAAAACCAAGCCAGTCACGCTACATAGAATAAGTCTGAATTACTGAACTCAAGCATTGCATACAGTTGGATATTTAAACCCCAATGAAAGTTTTACTTCATGTGGCATTAATTTTCTCAAATGTTGTTTGGAAAATCAAGAGCAAAATTGGTTATAAAACTAAGAATAGACTTGGTAATTAACATGTATACATTTGTTAAAAATAGTTACCTGATTATCATATTTAAGAGACTGCGTCCCAACCAAAAACCGAATGGCATCTGTTTCTGCAGTCTGAGGCGTCAGAGCACGTGCCTGCAGGAGGGAAGGAAAACGCACAAACACTTATGAAGTTAGAGTTAACAGAGAGATTAAAAAGCCAGTCACCTCCTCTATTGCTGAAGGAGTATCAACTAGTACAAAGTGCCTGCGAGACGATTCAGATACGATGAGAAGCCTTCAACTTTTGTGCGCTTTGTGACACAACAATTCCACTTCAAATATGTATATGCAAACAACTGCATATAGGCACAAAAATTAAGTAATAAACATGCAAATTATGCTTTTAATAAAACCATAATTATAAACAGGAATATACTGGTTGAATAAATTTCTCTACACCCATACTGCAGAAAACGGCAGAGCGGGTGGACCGAGTCGCCTACAGAGGACACCTGAAAAGCCAAACAAAATCCTCTGAATTTGTCTCCCGTCCTCAGAAATGCCCGGCCTGGGAGAGGAGGGAGCTCAGGGAGGTGAGACTGCCCTCTGGCCCCCTCCCACCGGGCGGCATCTGTCAGTCTGGAGAACGTGGCTGAGTGGCCGCTGCTGAGGAGAGCTTCTGATAGGCCCAGGGGGCTGGAGGTACAGACACAAAGTTGTGTGGTGTGTCCTTTGGCCCAGGGCCCTCCACACAGAAGGGGCCAGCAAAGCACTACGGCTTCGCATGGGGGGGACCCCACAGGGTCACAGGCCAAGAGAAGGTGACCTGGAATTAGATCAGCTCACAGACTAAAATCCAAATCCCCTCAGCCCGTGATTGGGTTTAAGGTGTCTGAGCAAGCAGGCGCTTCTGTGCCAGCCAGGCCCCCGCAGCAGGGACAGGAAGCCCTCTGAAGGAAGGTAAAGACATCTAAAGTTTCTGCAATTTTTCACACAATGTCTAACGCTCAATCAAAAATAGCCAGTCATAAAATAAGACAAAATTATGGTCAAAAACCAAACAAGAGAAAAAGGCCAGTTGAGCATTCAGATGATCAGGTTCCCTGGGACACAAGCTCTTCAGTGCTAAGTTCTGTGCACAGGGCGTTTCCTGGGAAGCGCTCTTGGGAACGATACCGCGCAGGGGTGAAGGACGTGGGCCTGTCAGAGGGAAAGCGGGACTGCAGTGCGGTCTCTGCCAATCCCGGGTGAGTCAGGAGCCGGAATGGCCTTCGGAGTCAAGGCAGGACGGCCAGTCCTCACCGCCGACCCCGACCCCCACTCGGCCATCCCTGCTTGCGGGCTGCCCCTGGAGAGGGTGTGACCAGGGTAAAGGGGTTCTGTTCGGCTGAGGGCAACCCTAGAGCAGGACCCAGCTGAGAGCTCCCTGCCGCCCACAGACCCAGAAGTTGCCGGGTTTCCTGAAAGAGAGATCCGGGCAGGGCGCCACAGCACCAATTACCACGGCCAAGCTTCTATGCAGGAATTAAAACATCAAACTAAGAATTTCGGTGGAAGAATCTGAGCCTAGGGAGGAAAAGATTATGCAGCTGGTTAATATTAGAGCTGTGACTACTATTTCCAGCTTATAAATTCAAACCCAGCTTTCAGTATAATGAGTAAGCAGGCCTAGATCAAGTCCCGTGAGTCCCTCTCACGGTGCCCGAGTCCCTTTCAGGCACCCTCAGGTGAGAGGGACTCGGGCAGGTGAGCGGGACTCGGGCACCATGAGCGGGACGCGGGACTTGGGCAGGGTGAGGGGCCGTGGGCCGTGCTGGCTCTGGGGACGGAAAAAGTAGCCCATGAGCAAAGGCGTCTAGGTGGCCTCTAGAACCAGAAAAGGCAAAGTGACGCATTCTCCCCTGCGACTCCTCAGGAATGAAGCCTGGACAATGATATGGCTTCAGCAGTGAGGCCCACACTGGGCTTCAGGACGACAGAACTCTGGGGTAACAAAATGCGGTTCTTTCAGGCCATTGCATTGCTGCTGATTTGTTAAGACAGGAACAGGACACCAGTGCTGCCACACAGTGGTCACCAAGCGGGCCCCGCGGCCCACACCCTGCCCCCCACGCAGCCAGAAACAGGCTTGAGGCACCACTCCCTCCCCTACCACAGCGAGTCCCGACATATTTTTTTCAACTTCTTGATTCATTCTTTTTCAGACACAGTAAGAGATACAGTCTGACCGCCCTCCTGACTGTGGGTCCCACCTGGTCCTGCCCCGTTTCCACAGCCGAGGCAAACCAGCTCCGGGCGGAGGGTGGCCCTCCCCCGGGGCACTCTCTAGGGGGCGCAAGGATGCCACACACATCCCACCCTTCTCCAAAAGGGTCACTGGCACAAAGAAATACCAAATACATTTCAGGAAAACCAAAAAAGTATGTGTAAAGCAGTATTAACATTATTAGACATTTAAAGGGGAAAAAAAACCTATTCCAGCCAATTGTTTAAACCACGTGAAGGCCCCATGGTCAGTGTGCCTACATCCCTTCAGCAAAACGTGGCTGCAAAATCTTTGGAGTCTTAGACCCAAAAATAAGGCGTTCTCTGTGAATCTACAGGCCTGCCAAAAACATACATGTGCAAACACAGCACCCTGCACATATCAGCATGTATCCTGTCCCAGACCCCCTGAATCCCATCCAATTTAAACACCCCTCATGAGAGAAAAAGGGCTCTGATGAGAGAGGGTCCACACCACTCCGGGAAGGCGAAACCCAGGGGCTCTGAGGGCTGACCCTTACGTCACAGAGGCCATTCGGGACCGGCGCCCCTCCCAACAAGAGCACCAGGACGCCATGGAGGCACCCCAGGTGGACAAAGCCTGCAAGCCCCCAAAACTGGGACCCAGGAGAGGAGTTATATGAAAAGGAGTGAGTGACCTCCATTAAAAGAGGTCCACGGTCCAAGGCAGTCATTAAGAGCAGACCGCGCAGGACCGCAAGGCAGAGCCACGGCGGGTGCCACAGAGGAGGCGGCAGCCCCGCCCCCAGCAAGCAGACTCCTGTTAGGAGAGGGGGCGAGACGCCCCAAGGGCAAGACAGCAGATGGGCACCAGGAGCGCCAGCGCAGACCCTGTCACGGAAAACCGGCGCCCACTGGAACGCGCCCACAGCTCAGCTTCAGCCAGAGGCAGGATTAAAAGCCATCACTTTAGAATAGAAAAAAAAAAAAACAAAAAGTCAACTGTATCACTGGTCACTACGCTGAAGAAGAAGGGCATTTCAGGCATGCAGACGCTGCTTGAGTACCAGCAGGGAACCGGTGTCCGAGCTGCTTCCGCTTACGCAGTTTCTAAGGCCAGGAACCACACACCTGAAGAGGAATAATGGCGAGCATCTGGAAACACCCTAACCAGATCGTGTGCTTCAGACAGAAAAGCTGCCAGTTTCAGAAAAGCACCACAAATTTGAAACTGTGTTGTTCTGCCACACAGAGGACTTCAAAAAAAAAGAACTGAAGAAGAAAATCATGCCTGTAAAAAAAATCTCAACTGCATCTTCAAAAATCACAGCAAACCTTCATAAAAGGTGAAGATCTTTCTAGTACATTATTGGGTAAAATTACAAAAACACCTTAATTCTGGCCATTTTGATGACGGATGTTTACCTATGTAACCCTGCTTCTTCAATTAAGCGAATGACACAGTGACCCCCTTGTCAGCCTGGCCGTAGGGTGGTTTCAGGTGTTCCAGTACTAAGATCGAGTCTCTATAGTGAACTGGGTCACGAAACATTTCCTCGTATTTTCTCTCGGTTTGTCCGCACAACTCAATGAGGCAGGCAGGAAGACAGGATGGATGACATTATTCCCATTTAGAAGACAAAGATGCTGAGGACCAGAGACATTAAGTGACTTAGGGTCACAAATGTGCTACGGGGGAAAACAACAGACTCCCAGGCGCAAGTCCAGTCCTCTTTCTTCTCTATGGGGAGCAGCGGACTGGCAACAGGACGTTTATGTGTTTGAAGTCGGAACATGGGCCACTTTATTACAATTCCACTTGTTTTCCCGTTCTCAAAAGAAAGGCCGCCGCGCTCTCTTCATACACCTGTCTTTCTCGTCCACCGTCACCACCTCGTGCCCCTCCCCGGGGACAGGCCCCTGGAGAAGCGGAGGCGCAGCAGGAAGAGTCAGAACACGGGGGGCACAGCATCAGTGGCAGGGTATTAACTGAGAGGGTGCGATCTCCTTGGGAAACTCGACATTGCATTTACTCATTCAGCGAGTAAATGCTCACCCTGCATGACGGACAGCGGAACCTACAGTCACGACTTCCACCTAGAGCCACACTCCAGGTGCGTGCGAGGCTCCGCCAACAGGGGGCGGCAGGGAGGGGCTTTTCTTGGAGCAGGTAAACCCAGGGCGGGCAAGCCCCCGCCAGAATGGCCCTCTTCACCAAGTCACTTGCCCCCGACAACCCAGAGGACGAGGCCGTGACCAGGACGAAGAAGCAGAGCGCCAGAGGGACCGCCTGGGCAGCAGATCGCTGCCCAGCCTCCTTGCAGACGGTGCCTCCTCCTCCTGGGCTGGACAGACCCCCCAAACACAGAGGAGGGGGATGCATTACGAGGAGACCTCCTGGGCGACTCGAGATGCCTGTGGCATGGAGCTAGGCCTCTGAGGCGGGGGCGTAGCCCGCAGGACTGGCGCTCGGTCCCCTGTTCACGACTGCAAGCCCACGGGTGGCAAAGCCACGCTGCCCGCCCGCTGCCGCTGCCTGTGGCCTGGGCGCCCACCCACCGTCCCACTGCCCCTGCATGGCCAGCCCCCACCTCCAGCAACCAGCTGCCCGCACACTGGCCCTGCAAGCTGCCTGACCTGCCTCCTCTGGTTCCTCCCCTCAGCTGGGGAGCCAGCTGGCACCCGCCCTGCCCTCCCGCACCCTGGCTCCTCACGCTCTGTCCTTCCCGATCACCGCCAACCTCACTGGGTGCACAGCCCGGAGCCTCTCTCCGCTGACCGCCCTGCCCCCTCCCCATGGGCCCCCTGCAGGCATGTGAGGCCTGGCCCCAGAGCCCTGTTGGGACACCCC